CTGAAGTGGTGTAGGGTTTCCTGGCTAAGCAGGGGGTTGGACTAAAAGACCTCCAAGGTCCCTTCCAACTCTGTTATTCTAGTCTAACTGCTGTAGGTTTTCCTTATAGGAGAGCTGCTCTAAGAATTTTGATAGAATATTAGAAGTGGTATTGCATTGCATTGTCTAAAAGGCTTGGGTTGCACCCGTAACATTCCCCTCCTTGTTTTCTCTCCCTCTCTGATCCCAGTGTGCAATTCCATCCAGAGCACAATGCGGGGCCGATGGATCTCGAATGTCTTTTTGATGTCTTCCTTGAGACAGTGCAGGACACCGTAGCTGGAGGGCAGAGCCCTAAAACAGGTGGGAGCTCTCTGATAGAGTTGGCTTTTGCATGCCTAGAGATACAGGCTCAGCTTTACCTCCATGCTGCCCCGTATAGTCAGCAGGTTGTTCCCCTTCTATAGGGTGCCTGCTAATCTCCTGGCAGGGTTGAAGCTTTGCTGGGTCCACAGATGGGCTGAAATTACTGCAGTGCTCATCCGGGCATCCTTTTCTCTTCTCTCCCACCTCTAGTGTGCAAACGACTGCAGGACTGTCTGCACGATTCAAAAGTCCTGCCTGCCATCAACCTGCCCCGCCCTCACAAAGTGCTCATCCTGGGCTCGGGGGGCCTTTCTATAGGGCAGGCAGGTGAGTTTGACTACTCTGGCTCCCAGGTGAGTGAGTGAGGAAGTGGAAGTCAAAAGGCAGCAGGGAAATTTGCAGAGTGGGATGGGGGTTGGGTGGAATACTCACAAGCAAAAAGAATTGAGGGCTTTTGTCAATGGCAAAGTCACCAGAGTGCTTGAGGTATTTTTAGCATGGAGGTATCATTTGATACAGGGCAGCAGCTGATCCTAATTCACCTTGGGCTGCATCATAGAGAAGCAAAGATTGTTATTATAGTTGGTTGCACGGTCAGCCAGATGACTGGGTCTGACATTTTTATCCCTCTTTTGAGTCCTTCCCAAGAATCTGGGATAGGCAGAAGTTTTTTTTTTATGGTGTTAAAGGTATCCTAGCAGGATGTAAGCTGTTCCATGTCAATCTATCTTTGGTAATTGACTGAATTTGTCAATGCCGTTGGTTTTCAAGATACACTATATTGCCAAAAGTATTTGCTCACCCATCCAAATAATCAGATTCAGTTGTGAGTGAATACTTTTGGCAATATAGTGTATTTGGGGATTGCACCCAAGGCATCCATTACTATTAGTACTATCTTTGCTTTCTTTTATCATTATTATGGTTGGTCACACAGGCAGCTAGATTTTACACAGGATTCAACATTTTTATCTACCTATTGATTCAGTATTATTTAATGTATATGTTTCTTAACTCCCAATTACTTTAGATCTATTTCACTGAGGACTGCAACAGGGTTGTGTTTGACCTGGGGGGGCGGGGGGCATGGCCAGCTCGACATCACTCTTGTCGGCCCTTGTGGAGGCCCAAGTGATCTACCAGCAAAAATGAGCTCCTGATCTCCATTTCTGGCTGCTGCAACCCTCTGCCAGCGAAAATGGAGCTCAGGAGGGCTGCATATGGCCTTTGCAAACTCTGTTTTGTCTGGTAGAGGCACTGCGGTCCGGTCCTTTGCTGTTTCCAGGGTGGCCCTGCTAGCCAGATCTAAGCACCAGCAGACTGGGAGGGAGGGAGAGGGGGGGGCAATGGGTCAGGATTAATTATGGCTTATTTCAGCAAATTGTTATAGCAATAGCAGTTAGACTTATATACCGCTTCATAGGGCTTTCAGCCCTCTCTAAGCGGTTTACAGAGTCAGCATATCGCCCCCACAGTC